ATCAAGCAACTTTATAAATCTCAAAAGTTCAAAAAATGTCAATTTAGTGTATAATATATGCATCATGTCCTATTCTCCATTATCCAGTGCAGTATATCACCATTCCATTAATAATGGACCCTTACGATACATGCCCTGGGCACATTTGCCATTAAAGTTTCGTAGATGGAAGTGGAGTGACAATTTCTCATTATCCCTATCTTAGCACAGGGTTGCGATAATTCGATTGGATAACTAATTGTAAAGTCAATTCAGGCGTAAAGCGAAGCTATGGGTTAAAAGAGGTCCAGGGTATTTATCATGATTGAATGAAGATGTAATAATCTGGATCATCGAGGATGAGTATCCTCGACAAGTATTCGAAGGATGGTTGTCGATATAGCGGGTGAAAGGACGGGCAGCAATACAATATATAATACATGATGACTCGGCGTATTTCTCTTCAAGTATAATAAAATTATATCAAAGAGGAGACTATTCGATGGTGGTTTCAGATCCCAGAGTAATTAAACACGTATTTCCCCCAGAAGCAATAAAATCAGTACAGTATATCGGAAATGCCATCTATTTTTGCAGCACGCGGACTTGCGCCTTTGTTGTTATTGTGTCGAGTGTCAATAGACTGCAACTGTAAAACTCAACGCTGTCTTCAAAGTGGCAAGACTCACGGTGAGAACAAACAGGGAGCAATAGCTGCCTTGTGCCATATATCTTTAGTTACACAACCACCTCATATTGGGCAGGTTCAAGAACGATGTACGACTGAACTCCGAGGCTTCAAAGGCGGGTTAATTGGTGTAATTAATGGATGATTAAGACCGCTCCTTATCTACAATTACCTGATTACCTGTCTTAACCTCCGACATCCTCCGACCACATCCCCGCAGCGTTCTCTTCCGCCCAGGTCCCCCACCCCCTACTCCCCACCCCTTCCCTCCGCTGTGCAGTGTTCGTATAGAAGGGATTACAGCATTGCGTGGCGGGACAGGTCGCAGTCTCTCATACTGACCCGAGGGCATATATTTAGTAAAACATTCACCCCTCTTCCCCTTCTAAGCTGAAGGCAGGACTTTAGGGTTAGTATGGGGATGGTTGTGTGGCCTGGAGGCTGGAGAAAAGACTACTACCTGTCCTACCCGGCCTATTCCAACCTCTACATCTACAACCTACACACCCCCATCACTCACATCTACACTCCAACCCTATGCACCCAACATATACACCCCATCTCTATACACCCAACCCTTACATCTACACCCCATCTCTATACACCCAACCCTAACATCTACACTCCGCCCCTGTACACCCACCCCTCACATCTACACTCCACCCCTGTACACCCAACCCTCACATCTACACCCCATCTCTATACACCCAACCCTCACATCTACACCCCATCTCTATACACCCAACCCTAACATCTACACTCCACCCCTGTACACCCACCCCTCACATCTACACTCCACCCCTGTACACCCAACCCTCACATCTACACCCCATCTCTATACACCCAACCCTAACATCTACACTCCACCCCTGTACACCCACCCCTCACATCTACACTCCACCCCTGTACACCCAGTCCTCACATCTACACCCCACCCCTGTACACCCAGCCCTCACATCTACACCCCACCCCTGTACACCCACCCCTCACATCTACACCCCACCCCTGTACATCCAACCCTCACATCTACACCCCACCCCTGTACACCCAGTCCTCACATCTACACCCCACCCCTGTACACCCACCCCTCACATCTACAGCCCACCCCTGTACACCCACCCCTCACATCTACACCCCACCCCTGTACACCCAGTCCTCACATCTACACCCCACCCCTGTACACCCAGCCCTCACATCTACACTCCACCCCTGTACACCCAACCCTCACATCTACACCCCAACCCTGTACACCCAACCCTCACATCTACACTCCACCCCTGTACACCCAACCCTCACATCTACATCCCACCCCTGTACACCCACCCCTCACATCTACACTCCACCCTCTACGCACCCAACCCTTACATCTACACCACAACCCTGTACACCCAACCCTCACATCTACACCTCACCCCTGCACACCCAACCCTCACATCTACACCCCACCCCTGTACATCCAACCCTTACATCTACACCCCACCCCTGTACACCCAACCCTAACATCTACACCCCAACCCTGTACACCCAACCCTCACATCTACACTCCAACCCCTGTACACCCATCCCTTACATCTACATTCCACCCCTGTACACCCAACCCTAACATCTACACCCCAACCCTGTACACCCAACCCTCACATCTACACTCCAACCCCTGTACACCCATCCCTTACATCTACATTCCACCCCTGTACACCCAACCCTCACATCTACACCCCACCCCTATACACCCAACCCTCACATCTACACCCCAACCCTATACACCCAACCCTCACATCTACATCCCACCCCTGTACACCCAACCCTCACATCTACATCCCACCCCTGTACACCCAACCCTCACATCTACATCCCACCCCTGTACACCCAACCCTCACATCTACACCCCAACCCTGTACACCCAACCCTCACATCTACACCCCACCCCTGTACACCCAACCCTCACATCTACACCCCACCCCTATACACCCAACCCTTACATCTACACCCCACCCCTGTACACCCAACCCTCACATCTACACCCCACCCCTGTACACCCAACCCTTACATCTACACCCCACCCCTGTACACCCAACCCTCACATCTACACCCCACCCCTGTACACCCAACACCTACACCCTCTCCCATGTACACCCCACCCTCACATCTACATCCCACCCTCACATCTACACCCCACCCCCTATACACCTAACCCTCACATCTACAGCCAATTCTCACTCCCACCCCCACCCCACCCCACCCCACCCCCTCCACACACACATCTACTCCCATCTTCCCCAACAACATCCCAGGTTGGAATTCCCCTTGCCTCCACACGCCAAACTCGACTATGATGAATACAGTTTCAGTATTGACCACGCAGCGACAGCCCTATTCAGACGATATACATGTTTACACACCAGCCTGAATACAGAAACACAAACATTTAACCCACTGGTCATTTTGTGGGTCATTACCGACCCGCTTCATTATCAGATATATCGAACCAGTCTAACACTAACGTTGCGGGTAAGTGGTCTCCACCCTTTCTTTTTGTAAGGCTAGACGGACCCAAGTCCAGTTGAAGACACTTTTGTTTCCAAGTTTGACCAACGTGCGGCGCTGAAGGGTTTGCTCTGCTCGCAATTTGGCGTTAAAAGCTGAGGCGGAACTATATTATTGTACGGCTCCATGGAAAAACGCTGCGACAAATTTCTTTTATTTCGTTTTCAAATGTCAGCTTGCTCAGAAAACATCTGGTTTGCCTCGTTATAAAAGCCCCTGTTTTCCCTCAGAGATTGGGAGTCGTTGGAATAATGATTTTTTAACCCATATCGATCAGGTCCTTTTCAGAATTCTAGAAGTAGATTTTTGTGTGTGTTATTTTAAAAACGAAAATTCTGATCTCTTGGGTAGTTCTCTGGTTGTGTTTCATCACACATGAAGTGAGTGTAAGTCAGTCGCTCCTTAATAGAATTGAAGAAGAATCCATTATGGGGTGAATGTGAAAATGGACAAAAGATACATCATCCATTTGTTTATTGTAAATGCCTTTTAGCGTCGGTGTCTATGTTCGTCCAACGTCGTCGTATTTTCGTGCTCTAAATGTTTCAGGATTCGTGTTTATTAACTTTGGACGCTGGACGTCAATGATATTTCGGAAGCGGTGGGGTAGCTTAGTGGTAAAAGCGTTCGGTCCTCACGCTGAAGACCCGTGTTCGAATTACCAATGGATAATTTTGTGAAGCCCATTTCGTTTGTCCCCCGTCGTGGTTTTGTTGGAACATTGCTAAAAAGGCGTAAACCCAAGCTCACTCATTCAGTGACATTTCGATAAGTACACCAACAGCTTCATCAACATCTACAACAACGATTGGGACAAAGGCGAATATTGGTTTAAAGTTGCAACAAATGATTTCTAATATAAAAAATTGGTATGAAATACCACCTTCTATTCTATACGGCATTAACCTTTTTCACATACCACAAAAGTTCGTTTTGATATTATTACCAGTTTTACACAATATCTAACTCCGGGTGGGGGCACGGGTGGCCCAGTCGTCTAAGGCGCCGCGATTCGCTGTGCAGAGTTGCGTCCCTTGGGCACGCCAGAAACCTATGATTGTGGGTTCGAATCCCGGTTCGCCCCAATTATGTTTCTAGGTTTGTCAGCACCATACCCGTGCTCGTGGGTTTCACCGAAGTGGTAAACGTCTTAGACCTGCATCACTCCGGGCTTCCCTCCCACATTAAGCTGACACGCCGTGATATAACTGGAAAATTGTTAAAAGCGGCGTTAAACCCAACTCACTCACTCACTCTAACTCCAGGTGACACTACACATTTGCACCAGGGGTCAAGGTTCAGTACACACGGTAACAGTTTTCTCCCAAATTTGCAATTCTTTCCCTGATAAGACATTCCCCGAAGTCTGACGCGCATAGTCACTGAACTGAACGAAAGCGGACTTGCGGCCAGAGGATGATCACGCATAACGAACGGCCGGCCGGTTCAACCCCGGGATAAGAATGAAAGACGCTTATCTCATATACATTGTAAAGGTGTGAAAAGTGACAGGCCGGGTCACTCCACACACAGCCGTTCGTGTAATAAGCGGTCAGAACTTTCCAAGTTAATAGCAGAATAAATACGAGCCTCGCTAGGGTTTCCCTTTCAGTCGCAGGTCGCTGCCTTACATTGTGAACCCAGCCTAAAGATATACAATCCCACCGTGTGGATTAATGCCACACACAAAATCGTTTTATCCCATCGTATTGTTTACCATTGGACCCGGCTGACCAATCAGATTTGGTGCTGGAAGCGCTGACCTCGTGACGTCACAGGGTCAGTGAAAATCAAGATGGCTCACTTGAGCAAGAGGAGAATAATTTTGCACATTTTGAGCGTCTGCTGTCAAGCTTGTGCCAGGAATATGCATGTATGCAAGTAGATTGGAGCTTCCCGCTATATTCAATAACTACAGTGAGCGTGTGATTAACGCACAAGTAACCTCGAGTGCAGCGAGCGAAGGATATTCGTGGAGTTGGCAGAGCGGAGATCGACAGTGTCTGTGTGTGGAGCAGGGAATGAGAAGAAGCATGTTCCCGTTCTGAGCCGGAGGATGCGCTAGCACCTCTGCTCCTCCTGGGTTCAGCGTCTGGATAGATCCCCCAAAGATGGATGGTGTACAGTAAGAACGAAGGATGCATCCGTGTATACTGAAATGCTCGGTTCCCAAATCTCTGTCCAGCTAGCGCTTTGTTCCGTAGCGATCACCGAAGGATCTCTCCACTATTTATTTGATGACAATGAAAACATGTGTCGTGTTTCCTTGCCCTTATGTGTTGGGTGAGATCGGACATGGATTTAGGGGCACACTAGCCGCGGCCCAGCCCACTGTCCGACAGTACACTCACCAAGAAAGCTCTTGAAAGCCATTTATCTACTATTGGAATACGTGATCTTCCACAATGGGAGTTTTGGCGAGACGGCTTGTTTTGGCATCAGTTTTTCTGTGCACTGCGAATCTGATGTGTTTGGGGGAGGCGTGTGTGTTGAGTTGTCACTGCACGGCAATGGGATCGAAAAACAAATCTAAAGTTAGAAAGGTGGACTGCGCGAAACACCCCCCTCCCTTCACGAGTCTCGCACACATAGCGTTCCCTCTGGATACGGCTTACTTGTAAGTATCTACTTCAAAAGCAACACACAGATCCCAGTCTGAGTGTCTAGTTGCACACTGTTATATTGTACTGTCTTGTATACTGGTGTTGGTCATTATTATACACAGAACATAACTATATTTTCATATAAGTACTGACAGGATGTCTAAACCATTTTCTTATGAGTATATTAGCTGATAATCTAATGAAATGAGTGTATGTCTTAGTCATGTATTAGTGTAGCACTACATCATATTTCACAACACTTTGACAAGGAGGGCGCCAGGTACCATATGAATATATATAGCTTGGTATTTGAGGTGAGTAAGCACCTCACCCAAATTCTAATGTGTATACTGTCTGTTAATTTAAGAGATGACACATTTAGCCTCATAATAAACATTCCAGTCCCGTGGTAATAAACAAGAGCCCCAAGTCATTAGCAATTACACCTTGTATCTTGGCACCTCCACTGGCCCTGTACTATCTGAGATATGCAATGAAGGGCTGTGCTATAACACTTGTAACACCATCTGTGAATGTCCAATCATGCCACATGTGTAACATTGGGTAACAGTGTAATGCAGGGATCGCATGTGCAACTGTGTGTAGTGCTGATCCAGTGATACCAGGGTTTCTGACTCATTTGTTTGTATTACAATAATGAACAAATTGCTTTTATGTGTAACATGTAGCAGTGATATTATTAACTTGTTAACTACCCATAGTGTTTGATACCAAGTCTGTTGTTTGAAATCAGTGACAGAAGATCAAGAACTGTGTATATCCTAGTCCAACAGTCCTAGGATGGAACAGTTTATATATTTGTTCAATATGATGGAACAGTTTATACAGTAAACTACAGTTATAACTAACTCAAAGGGACTTTGAAAGGCATTTAGAAGTGATTCACATAAGGAAGAGAATATATGGATGCCAACGTCTTTATTATGAGGAACACAACGTTTCGGAGTATATGCTTACTCCTTCATCAGGTGAATTCACCTGATGAAGGAGTAAGTATATACTCCGAAACGTTGTGTTCCTCATAATAAAGAAGTTGACATCAATATATTCTCTTCCTTAACTCGAAAGGGACTACTAATTTTAATTTGTCATAACCATAGTTCATTATAAGCAAATATACAGCAAATGCACGGGACCCAAATCAGTTTGTTATATCCGTCAGTTCGTTATAAGGGTGTTTGTTATGAACATAGTTTCCCGTATATTAGTTCAATAGAATGGAACAGTTAAAATAATCATCCAACAGTATGGAACAATTTGTATATTAATTCAATAGGATGTAACAGCAAGAAATATATATACCAGTGTTGCAGATATCTACATTTTCAGTTTAGGTTCTTCCTAGACAATAAAGTCAATGCAGGCATGTGTTTTTAGTTATATTCAGGTTCAATCTTGAATTTCTAATTATCAGAGAACCGTACATGGCACTCATGAAAACTCTAAGCTTTTAATTATTGAAACAATTCCTGGTTATGTTATTTTTCCCTAGGTGTTGTAATATAGAAGAAGATAGTTCTTTTATTAATGTGTCAGATATCTTCTTTCTAGAATGCAAGCATGGTAATATAATAATTAATAAGAACATGAATTTCTGCAAATACATACAGATCTACATAATATTAAGAATATAAGAATGTCCTGTGGTTTATTGAATTTCACCATATGATAAACGCTATATCTTCTTTTCGGAGTTAAAATTGTTCTGTGAGGCAATGCAGTTTGGGGCTTCGTTCCGCACGACGAATACAGTCTGGTCGGCAGACATCTGTGGGATTTAGCATCTCTCTGGGATGAAACTTACCTCAAGTAAAAACTCCAGCCAGCTAGAAAATGTACTTCGTCTTCAACATCATCATTATTACTAAGTTTACAGATTCTATCTGGGATGCTAAGGGCAGCTGCTGTATCCATATCAGGACTCCAAAGCTCCGTAGTCCATGATGTGATATGAAGCAAATAGTGTCACTCCTTCTACCCTTGCAGTTTTAGTTAAATAGTTTTTAAATGCTTGACAATGCTGTGTGGTATGGGTATTAGCCAACCTGCCATAAAACCAAACTCCCAAAACTTGACCCTTGAAGTCCCTTGCGTAAATGATATGCCCCGGAGGTAGACCACCCCACAGTAAACAGTATACGGGGATATATACACCACATGCTAGTGATTCAAACTGCACTGGCTACTCCCTTATTATCCACTCCAGTTTCTTTTTTCTCTTTCCGAAGTTTTACATGCTAAATCTAGTCTGTCATACAAACTCTGAAACAAATATATCCAATACAGCCCATGCAAGTCTCAAATGTTTGGCAAGTCTAGATTACTGCAATATCAGGTAGAAAGACTTGGCTCCTTTTTATTTTATTTCATGACTTATTTTTTTTTTTAAATCTGTAAAATATGTTCATTTCAGAGACTAGATGTTAGTCTAATGCTAAATCATGAAACTCTAATTTTGATATCCACTTAGATGGAATCAGTACATGTATTTATGGTTTAAATCTTTGAAACTACTCTTGAATTAATATAGCATGGCGTTTTGCAGATTTAGATGCTCATCACATGTATTGAATATTAAAACAGGAAAATATATTAAAATCCAGAAGGAATATATCCTGATATATCAAATCCCGAAGGAATGTAGAATATGTAATATACAGTTTATAGACATGATAGAAGCTGAGTGCCACGTTGTTGTCTTTTGCCTGGTTTACCAGTCCATGTTTTACATACCTACTTCCATCAATTTCCAAATATCTTTACGTTTAGTGAATTATGTCACATGTAAATATATATTATTAAAGTTCTAACAGATAATATGTTTAGAGCAATGAAATTAAGATATGATCAGACATGTTTTGTAAACAATTAAAAATTATTTCTGTACATCACCATCCTCACTATGGGCCTGTGGTCTGACAGTCTGCAATAAAGACGATGCTATAAATGTACAGGGTAACATCAGGCTGTAACAGTGTGCCCAAGTATTAGTGTATCTCTCAGCAGTGTCTGAAATAACTGCCTGCCCATCTGCCCGTGGCTGGTAAGATTGCTGTCGGGATGCATGAAATTTTCCTCCACTTGGCCGACTGTCCGGCAGATATTTAAGACTAAATAGGTATTCAGTTTTATTATAACTCCTTGTAGATTCTCAAGTAATGGTTTGCATTTTTTTATTTCAACTGAATCAAGACACTATTTGTGTCTTATTTTGGGGGATATTTCAATATATATAATGTCTATATGCGGGGAGGAAACTTTGAAGATGGGCAGGCAACACTTACGGGTCACATGCCCGAGTGTCTTTGGGGGGTTTAAACTTATTTCAAACGCTGTCTGTAACAATGTACCCAAGTATTAGTGCAGGACTGTGTGATACAAGAATGGTAACAAGAACATGAAGAAGTCATGCACACATACATGTTTATTGAGAGAGCCGATATGTGGTACAAAACAATTCATCAAATACCTGACTCCTGTTCTTAAGTCATTTCTTGCCTTGTAATGTCAACTCTGAGATTTACAAACCTGATTTGAAGACAAGATGGTATGGAGTATAAAATAGGTTTCTTGTAGGTTGCTGTGATCTTGTGATGATTAAATATGTCACTAGTTTCTGTTATTTATTTGCACAAATATGTCTTTTAATTGTGTCAAGTTTTCATGTAGCTGTTTTATCTGGGACTTGCTATTGGAATATCATGTTAATAATGAGAATATGACAACAAACATTGCATCACAAACCATGGCATCAATGGTAGGTTAGACTTGCACAAGTCTCTAAGGCAATAATTATTAAATTATGTAAATAATAAGAACACATTGTCCTGATAAGAAACTGGAGTCTAGACTTGCCTATTAGGAGGATAGAATTACTACACATCCCTGGAGTTGTCTTTCAATACAGCCTTGGAGCAAGGCTAGCATGACATTTACACAAGTTTTCTAATGAAATATAATTAGTTTCCATTGTGATTGCTGTTCCACACAGGCATGGAGCAGGATGTGTGTTAAAGACATCTTAGTGCAACACATACATGCAACACTGGTAATTGCAAAGTAGGGCGATATTCACTTACTGTAGGCATCACTCATGTCCTGATGTAAACCCAGTAGGATTATCTGCCAGCTGATAAATTTACGCCCCGGACAATTAGTGTCATAAGCTGGTTACACATTGTTGTAGTGATGTATTACATTGTCCAACATAACACCATCTTCATCCCCTCATCAGCAGCTGAACAGCACAGCTGTCCGGTAGATATGTTACGTATCATCTGGAATGTTCATAGGGTACCCGTAAAGACCTGGGCTAGAATAGGCCTTCAGCTATCCATGCTTGCTGTAAAAGGCGACTATGCTTGTCGTAAGAGGCGATTAACGTTTGGTTTATCAGGTTTGCTGACTTGGTTGATGCCTATCATTTCCAATTGCGTGGATTGATGCTCATAATGTCAGTCACTGGATTGTCTGGTCCAGACTTGATTATTTACAGACTGCCTTCATATAGCTGGAATATTTATGAATGCGGCATTAAACAAACAAACAAACAAGCAAACAAACAAACAAATGCTTATAAGGAGAAGTGCATCACCAGGGAGGGGAAGCTGGCCTGTCAAACGGGTAGTGATGACACAGGCAAGCTGCTGTTAATTGCCGAATGGTACTAGACTAACACGAAGTGTCTGAAATGTAAATATTTTACAGAAAAAGTTATTTTTATACAATATTATAAAAAGGAGCCCAGAGTCTCTTTTCATATCCTGAAACTGCAGTTATCTAGACGTGCGAACTATTATAGACTTGCATGGGCTGTATTGGATATATATGTTTCAGGGTATGTATATGACTGACTACATGCATGGACAAGAATGGTACTTTTAACCTGTTAACTCTGTGTAGATTTCCTGGGGGGTAAGGGCCGTGTCATTTGTTATGGGTGTAAGTGGGTCAGAAGAAATCAGGGGAGGGTCACCATAAGTATGACAGTTTCCAGAGGAAGGTCATAAGAAATAATACACATCCTTGGGAAGGGTCATGAAAAAAAAGGGACATTTTATAATAAAGTAGAGTGCTCTGGCATTTTGTCTTTTCAGGGAGATGAAAAAAAATGTACAAGGACATTGGGAGGGTCATCCAAAATTATGATTGGCATTAGGGGAGGATGATAATATTTGGTACATCAGCACATAAAACCTTTTCTACGTCTGCAGTGCAGTATGACTGCAGTACCTAATTGCTGAACGACAATATCATGATTTGTGTCAGGTGGTGGTATGAGAATGGTTGTCTAAAATACTAATCAGATAAACATGATCAGGTTTTGCTGGTGGAATAATTCTCAGAAAATCAAAAATACATTAAAGCCATTAAAAAAATGCAACATGGATCTTTGATATATGCCAAATCAAATCATGTTTGCCAGTTTAGTTTAGGAAGATAAATTTCAAATGCTCACATTGAAAGTTACAAACTGAAGCTTTGAACATGTACAGTGGCCCAGTTGTTGAAAACTCCACAGTTTGCTGGTAAGAGAAGTCTCTCTTAGGCATACCAGGATCCTGTGATCATGGGCTCTAATACCAGATACTTACACCCTGTGGTAGTCCCACTGACACCCTGGGTCAATTCCACAAAGCGATCTTAGTGCAAAGATGATCGTAACTCCCATACCTTAACATAGGCTTACGGTAGTCCTTGCACTAAGATCGTCTTGGGGAACAGAGCCCTGGCACTTAGTCAACACAAGTAACAAGTAGTGTCACTAACACCCTGGAACAATACGACAGTAACAAGCAGTGTCACTAACAACCTGGCACAACACGACAGTAACAAGCAGTGTCACTAACACCCTGGCACAAAACGACAGTAACAAGCAGTGTCACTAACACCCTGGCACAACACGACAGTAACAAGCAGTGTCACTAACAACCTGGCACAACACGACAGTAACAAGCAGTGTCACTAACAACCTGGCACAACACGACAGTAACAAGCAGTGTCACTAACACACTGGCACAACACGACAGTAACAAGCAGTCTAACTAACAACCTGGCACAACACGACAGTAACAAGCAGTGTCACTAACACCCTGGCACAAAACGACAGTAACAAGTAGTCTCACTAACACTCTGGCACAACACGACAGTAACAAGCAGTGTCACTAACACACTGGCACAACACGACAGTAACAAGCAGTCTAACTAACAAACTGGCACAACACGACAGTAACAAGCAGTGTCACTAACACACTGGCACAACACGACAGTAACAAGTAGTGTCACTAACACACTGGCACAACACGACAGTAACAAGCAGTCTAACTAACAAACTGGCACAACACGACAGTAACAAGCAGTGTCACTAACACCCTGGCACAACACGACAGTAACAAGCAGTCTAACTAACAAACTGGCACAACACGACAGTAACAAGCAGTCATACTTACAACCTGGCACAACACGACAGTAACAAGCAGTGTCACTAACAACCTGGCACAACACGACAGTAACAAGTAGTCTCACTAACAACCTGGCACAACACGACAGTAACAAGTAGTCTCACTAACAACCTGGCACAACACGACAGTAACAAGCAGTCTAACTAACAACCTGGCACAACACGACAGTAACAAGCAGTCTTACTAACAACCTGGCACAACGCGACAGTAACAAGCAGTCTTACTAACAACCTGGCACAACACGACAGTAACAAGCAGTGTCACTAACAACCTGGCACAACACGACAGTAACAAGTAGTCTCACTAACAACCTGGCACAGAACGACAGTAACAAGCAGTGTCACTAACAACCTGGCACAACACGACAGTAACAAGCAGTGTCACTAACACACTGGCACAACACGACAGTAACAAGTAGTCTTACTAACACACTGGCACAACACGACAGTAACAAGCAGTGTCACTAACAACCTGGCACAACACGACAGTAACAAGCAGTGTCACTAACACACTGGCACAACACGACAGTAACAAGCAGTCTTACTAACACACTGGCACAACACGACAGTAACAAGCAGTGTCACTAACATTCTGGCATAACACGAAAGTAACAAATAGTCTCACTAACACTCTGGCCCTTAGTCAACACGACAGTAACAAGCAGTGTCACTAACACTCTGGCACTAAGTCAACACGACAGTAACAAATAGTCTCACTAACACTCTGGCACTTAGTCAACACGACAGTAACAAGTATATTTTATCTCAACACAGGATTGATTCTCTTAATGTGTGGTGTTATAGTGTTGGCCATTGATTGGTGTCCACTAGCGTGCATGTGATCAACTCTCACTCTGTTTATTGCAGGGATTTAAAGAAGAATCAGCTTACCGTTCTGCGGAATGGTTCCTTTATCGGCCTGTCCAAGCTTACCAAACTGTAAGTAATCGTTACTTATTGCCATCAAATGTTGCACACTGAAGGCTTAGTGCCAGCTTGAAGACACCAAACTGTCGCGTAGAAGACAGAGGAGGTCTTCCATGCTTCACGCCGTCTTGCTCCGACTGTTGTAATATGTTGGTTTATTTCAGAACTGGATATTTGTAAATAGAACTTTTGTTGCAGATCAGTCCATTCTAAAATGCCATTGGCAAAGTGATACAGGCCCTTTATGTTTGATGCATGTTGAGAAGTTGTCATTGTCAAAGTGATGCAGCCACTGACTCTGTGGTCTAGTGGATAGAGTGTCTGCCTCTAGAGCGGAAGGTCTTGGGTTTGATCCCTGGTCGCTTCAAAGACGTTAAAAGATGGTACTTGTTGTTACCCTGCCTGGAGCCTGGCATTTTTCAGCTAAAACAAGGATGGGTCGGGTCGGGGAAAGTATTCTGGCTCTGAGTGTTGGTTGGCATCTATTGTTAAACTGCGGCATGATATCTCAGTGGGCTAGCATTATAAAATCAGCATTAGTCTGGACTAGTAGCTACACACACACGTGCATGCACGTCACTATGATCTTGAACATTAAACACTGTTTCACCTCACCGCACCTAAAGTAATGCTGACCGTTTGTACATGATGCATCTCAAAATGTTGCTAACGGCAGAGACTTCTCATCCCTTAAAGATAAGAAAAGCAATTTTTGTTGATTTTCTCCGATGTGAAAAGGGGACAATTATTTGGTTTTGGAACAAATGAGTCAGCAAATGATGAAGAACAGTGTCAATAAGTTATTTCAGTCGCATGTTTGTTTGTGGTTTGATAGCGTATGGGCAAGCAGACTATTTGTTGACTATTGTCAGCTGGTATTGGGAGCCTTGCTGTTCCTGTCATGCATGGCAGGGCTAAGGACACAGGCGGTCCCCCACACTCATGGGCCATTGCGTCGGCAATACTCACTGCTGCACTGGTCTGGATGTGGTCAGTCATCTCTCTCATGATGAAACTATATTTGAGGTGATTATTAATTCCCGTCAGGGTTTATTGTTGTGATTGCGCTTGATGATCGTAGCTTTTGTCCGATTTGCTGGCTCAGTTGTTGCTTATGTAGTTATTGGAGTTGTTGGTTCACATCCTTTCTGCCCTTTACTGTGTCCCCTGTGGGCGGATTGTTTGCTTGATAGATGTGCCATCATTATTAGAGCAGAATTTGTGATGATGGCAACACAATGTTTGAAAAAATTATAAGAGGATAATAGTTTATGGTTCGTAAGATGATAACAGTTTATTGTTCGTAAGATGATAACAGTTTATTGTTCGTAAGATGTAACAGTTTATTGTTCGTAAGATGATAACAGTTTATTGTTCGTAAGATGATAACAGTTTATTGTTCGTAAGATGTAACAGTTTATTCTTCGTAACATGATAACAGTTTATTCTTCGTAACATGATAACAGTTTAATGTTTGGCACTATCTCAATTTGGCTAATTTGAAAAATGAATGTCTTTGGTGTGTCTTCTGATTTTAGTTTAAGGAGCCTAGAAGGTGACATGATTGGATATTATTATTATTATTATTATTATTATTATTATTATTAATGTAATTCAAAGCCAATACATCAAGAGAAATTACAGCGATGAAGTGTTAATTTGTGGAAGTCATTGTTTGAACATCAGTTTAAACCCCTCCCCCAAATGTCTTCAAATTCCTGTGTCTTTGTTAAGCCCCTGGAAACAGGCAGCCAGTGTGTGTCAGTGTGTAGGACGTAAGATTGATTTTAACTTTAGATGTCTTTGTATTTTGTATGTCAACACTGTCAAGATGTAACTCAGATGAAGTCTTTGGAGCTGTCACATCAGTGAACCTAAGTTTAAAGATCGTTAGAAGTTTTTACATTTGGACTATTATGTCGCCCCACGTTCGGCAAACATCAGCTGCAAGGGAGACAACACTGGTCATCCACAATAGTGTTTATTTTTCAATGCTCTGTTTGAAATGTTAAAGTGGTAAAAATCTAACCTGCTGCAGATGAATTATTAACTCATGATGAGAGTATGTGTGCATTTATTGGCATCTGGAGTGGAATCAACGCTTCTTCCACACAGAAGCCATCACACTGTCCTCTCGGTCAGGGGTTTAGTTAGCCTTGCTCTAAGGCTGTTTGGGGCGGTCGGGTAGCCTAGTGGTTAAAGCGTTGGCTTGTCACGCCGAAGACCCGGGTTCTATTCCCGACATGGGTACAATGTGTGAAGCCCATTTCTGGTGTCCCCCGCCGTGATATTGCTGGAATATTGCTAAAAGCAGCGTAAAACCATACCCACTCACTCACTCCAAGGCTGTGCTGAATTATAAGTCCATGGGGGTACAGTAATTCTGTCCTTATAATAAATACTGCTACTGCCATTGATTGGGACATCAGTACGCCAGATAGATGCGTTTTGTACTTATGAAAACTAGTAAAATATGGACAGATGCAGATTACAACTGTATCAAATATATAGGCAAACAATGCTTCATGCTCTCGTGATAAATTATTACTGAACCTTGTCTATTTATTCCCCAAATGCTCTTCAAAACATACATGGGCATGACCTTTGTCATGAATACATCATTTTGTGTCTGCAGCAAATGGATTTCCTCCCAATCCTGCATTGCCATTGGCTAATAACGCTCTAAAATTTTCTGTCCTCGGTTATGTTTATGTTACTTTGGCACCATAATTCAAATGTACAACAAAAGGTCTTTGTTTGATGGCATGCAATATCATGTCAGTACTCGTCAGTATAAGTTATATAATACATTAAGAAATCAGGAAAGTTGATTTTGTCGGATGGAAAACTTGCAGCGACATTTATCCTCCACCCCTGGACTTAACGAAATAAGATTTTTATCCAGCATAAAACTTTTGAACTGGTCCCTAATGAATCCTGGATGATGAAGTCAATTTCTGTATATCCAATACCAGGCAGTTATCAAATACCAAGCAGAGACGAGACTCCTGATATCAGTGGAGGAAAGTTCCAGATGAAAGTGTACCCAGTCTGACCTCCATGCAGGTGTCCCTTCAGCTGGCATGAACAACCGAGGTGACTCTCTCGGCTTGAATAACTAGACCCAGTCTTGAAATACTCACTGTTTAAGATTCACATTAAAAGGTTAGAATATGGAAGAGCTTGACTGATGTTTTGTTGCCATTGGGTTGAGAGGTGAAATTAAGGTGTTCTCATCAAATTACAAGTAGTCTTGGTGGGGGGTGGGGGGCACAGAGATACAGTATGCCAGGGTCGGAGTGTTCAGTCCAGGGACTGAGTAGCTTTCAATATTAAGCCCAAATACAGCCCCGCGTTTGATAACTGATACTAGAATAAAAAGGTTGGTCTTTTTAAGTGTAGGGTTTTAACCCTGAGTGACCTTCCCTCCTGAGATTGCCAGACAGGTTGTGGATTACCGCCTGTGTCCCTGTGGCTGGCTGCCGACAGAGACTGTACCCACTGACCTCACGCCCCCATTTGGGTGGGTCTCGTACCTCACCCTGGTGACAGGGCCGAAACTATGCATGGCAGTTACCTTGATGTAATGATCGTAATTCTGTGGTGGGATGCAGTTACAGTAAGCTGGTTAGACATTTGTAGGAAACAAGAGTCAGAAAGTAAAGAGTGAAAAAAATCAGAAGCATCCCTACTCTCCATCAGGGCTACTGCAGGGCTGTGAATTGTGTGAAACACGATACTCCCCTCCCTCGTTATAAGACAATGAGATGGAGACGTCAAACTTTTGTGTTTGTTGGCTGTGTTGAAGTCGTAATTCACACCAAATGTGTTTGAAATATTGGGAGGAATATTTTGACATAGATGCCTCAGTATTTGATTATTATATGAATGGGAAAGGGATTTGTGTTATAATGAAAAATTCTTGCATTTTGGAATTTTTGGTTGTCTGGCCCATGAAGTGAAGATGTTTCAAGTTTGTGCAGCCTAAGATGTTAACTCCTTGGGGTCTGGTATTGGATGGGGTATAGTGTTAAATGAGGTATGGGTGTGGGATGGGGTATGGTTTTGGTTGGAGAAGAAATACTCCTGGCTTTGTCAACACTAGGGTCTGTCACACAGCTTTGGATTGCTTGAAGTTTTTCAGTCTCTTTGCTTTTGGAATGGTTGATTGATATCAAATATGTGCGGAAGTGGTGACAGTGAAGGAAATTAGATATGTCTGAGCATCAAGGAATATGTAGGAGAAGATACCGCAGACAGAGGAATAAGAAGGAGTACATCTATGTATCAACTGCCGAGCTACTGGAACTTGATCTTGAGAATTTCATGCAGAGGTACTTGTAGATGGGATGCTAGACTTGCACAAGTCTCTAAGGCAATAATTATATATTAATTTTAATCATAATTTCTAGATTATATAAACAATAAGAACAAGATGTCGCCATGAAGGACCCCATCTTTAGACTGTACTTTCCGTTTATCTAGACTTGCCTATTATAAGGATCGAATTACTATGCGCACATGGACTTATCTTTCAGTACAGCCTAGGAGCAAGGCTAATGGAGTGCTTGAAATACTGTTTCTTTCTTTGCATGCTATGCTGTACATCACCTTGATAGTGTGCAGGAAAAGGACATGTCTTTACAAATACGAAAATAGCACCTATCATTCTTGATGTTGTTACACCAGTTTCTGATGTGTTGTATGTACAGGCATTTTACATGCTGTGGCATATCCGTTGTATTCACAGGGTATTAGAATTTAGATGCTGTGAGGGTTAGAATAGGTCTTCAGCAACCCATGCTTGCTGTGAAAGGCGACTATGCATGTCATAGGAGGCTACTAGCGGGATGGGGTGGTCAGTCTTGCTGACTTGGTTGATACATGTCATCGTATCCCATTTGCGTGGATCGATGCTTATGATATCGATCACTGGATTGTCTGGTCCAGACTTGATTATTTCCAGACCACTGTTATACAGCTGGAATATTGCTGAGTGCAGCATTAAACAA